AAAAAAAAAAAAAAAAAAAAAAAAAAGACTTCTTGGGTATGACATAGCACAAGTCTAGTAAGAGTTCTGCTGTGTTGTCTTCTGTACCATTCCTTCACATGATGTCCAGAAAAGGATAAGAACAAAAAGGGTTGCAGTGTTGCTGACAGGGAATCAGTAGGACATGCTCTCAAGGGTAGGGCAAGAAACTTCCGTACAGGAGAAAAGCTGGGGACAGATTACCAGGAAATAGGATTTATAGTACTGGGGAAAAGGTACTTTCGAGTTTTTAAAAAGACTCCTGCAGCAAGCCTGTATCTCAAAAAAATCATGGGTTAAGACATCGTGATGCTGATGTCTGTTACTGTGGTAAGTAGCACTGCCAAGAGTTCAAGAGCATTAGGCTTTTCACTAATGGAATTACTGAACGATACAAAGGCCCAGAAGTAAAGCAACTGTTGATATTGCATTGAAACACTTTAAGCACAGTTAGGTTTTGTTACCCAAAAAAAGGAAAGTGGTAGGATTTGTTTTGGGGGTTTTTTGTTTTGTTTTGTTTCTTTTGTTTAATCCTACCGAATAATCTCCTGCATCTACTCCTTCATTTTTCTCTGAGTATGACTGTAGCAAACTTGCAAAGGAAGATTTTTATGCCATGAAATTCCTGGGCTTTGGGAATTTTTTCCTCAATAATGGTGTCCATAGACACATCTAGCTGCATGCTTTAGTCCTTAAGGTGAGTTTTGTTTTTCTCAGAATCCTATTTATAAACAGGTACTTACGAAATTCCATTTTTAGAATTATTATTCTAAGGATCTTAATTGTAAAGCTCCTCTGCTATTAAGTTTCTGTATTATATGGCTCTGCAAAACAAGGCTTTACTTTGAACATGCTCCTGCATGAATGCAATCTTTGCTCACAAGAACAGTTACAAAAGGTACAACTATCAGTGTATTTTAATAAAATGCAGCTCCCCAGTTCCTTTTCTGTCTTTGCTATGTCTCTTTCAAGTGCTTGCCCATTTATACATTAGCACGGTGGAGGAGCAGGTTCTGTAAGCACTCAAGCTCAGGGCTTTACTGTGGTAACTCTACCCACAAACTCATTCACTCTTCTCTTCCTCCTCCTCTACTGGAAGCATAAAGGGAAGTGTGTACTTCAAACTTAGTTCCTCTGAACAGCTGAACCTTGAGATTAAGAGTTTTGGAGTCTGTTCTGTGTTTGGCCTACAGCTGTTCAAAGCCTTTTGTCTATCTATTTATTCTTATTTAACCCATTTTTTAGCCATTTTGAGAGTCTCCTGTTGTCTGTCTCAATTTTTAGTTTAGATCTCCTTCATTGTCTTTGACCTTAGATCAGGGGCAGGCAAAATATGGCCTGCGGGCTGGATCTGGCACCCCAGGCAATTCTATCCGGCCCATGGGGCCCCTACAATGTTTAAAAAATGAATATTTATCTACTTCTGGCTGCCTGTCAAAGATGACAGGATCCAGGAGCAATAGGACCCAGGGGAAGCAAGTGGCAGAACTAAACGGCCGCAGCAGCAAGTCCGGCTCAGCCCAGCCCAGCCCGGCCCTGCCCTGCCCCCCTCCAAATCTCCCCCCCAAACCCCAGCTAGAAGCCTCTGCCTGGCAGGGGCTTCTGAGGGTTTCTGGTCTGGAACTGTTCCTGCTTCCCTGCGCTGAGGGAAATACAGATAAGAAGGAGGGGGGAGGCGGACAAAGGAGGACCATGGTCAACTGCCCCAGTCCTCAGGGCCAGCCAGGCCAGCTCCTGCAGTTCTGGTGTTGAAGCTGGGAGCCATGTGGTGCCGGCTGACGGGCAGGGCAGAGCACAGTGACAGCCAGGTGGGAGCACACGGCCCATGCCAGAGCACCAGGGCCAACGCCAGTGTGGCCCAGAGTGGAGCGGCAGGAGCATGGGGCTGGGTTGGCAGGGGCTCTGTGGAGCCACGTTGTCTCCCTCCTCTCCCTGCTTGAGCAGCACAGACTGCAGGCCCAAAACTGAACACAGTACTCCAGATGTGGCCTCACCAGTGCCAAATACAGGGTAATAATCACTTCCCTTGACCTACTGGCAACACACCTACCAATGCAGCCCAGCATGCCATTAGCCTTTTTGGCATCAAAGGCACACTGCTGACTTGTCTTGGACAATAAGCTGAATATAACCCCTAGGTTCTTTTCTGCAGAGCAGCTGCCCAGCCTATCAACCCCCAGCCTGTACTGGTGCATGGGATTGTTCTGTCCTAAGTACAGGACTTTGCACTTGTCCTTGTTGAATGTCATGAGATGTCTTTTGGCCCAATTCTCCAATTTGTCTAAGTCACTCTGAATCCTAGCCCTACCCTCCAGCATATCTCCAGAATATCTACCGTAGAAGGAAGTGGTGGATGAGACTTTCTTCAAACAGCTAGCAGAAGTTTCCCAATCATAGGCCCTGATTCTCATGGGGGACTTCAGTCACGCTGACATCTGCTGGAAGGGCAGTACAGCAGTGCGAAAGTATTGGTGACAACTTCCTGGTGCAAGTGCTGGAGTGGCCAACTAGGGGCCAAGCTCTTCTTGACCTGCTGCTCACAAACAGGGAAGAATCGGTGAGGAATGTAGTAGCAGATGGCAACTTTGGCAGCAGTGACCGTGAGATGATAGAGTTCAGACTCCTGAGGAAAGGAAGGATGGAGAGCAGCAGAGTAAGGACCCTGGACTTCAGACTTTGATTCACTCAGGGAACTCATAGGCAGGATCCCTTTGGAAGCCAGACTGAGGGGGAGAGGAGTTCAAGAGAGCTGTACTTGAAAGAAACCGTACTGAGTACAGGAACAAACCATCCTGAGGCACAGGAATACTAGCAAATATGGCAGAAGACCAGCTTGGCTTAACATGGAACTCTTCACTAAACTAAATCACAAAAAGAAAGCTTATAAGAAGTGGAAACTTGGGCAAATAACTCACAAAGAATATAAAAGCATTGCTTAGGCTTGCAGGCATGAAGTCAGGAAGGCCAATGCACAATTAGAGTTGCAGCTAGCAAGGGATGTGAAGGAAAACAAGAAGGGTTTCTACAAGTATGTCAGTAGCAAGAAGAGGATCAGGGAAAGTGTGGGTCCCTTACTGAATTGGGGAAGAAACCTTGTGACAGAGGATGCAGAAAAGGGTGAGGTGCTCAATGCCTTTTTTGCCTCAGTCTTCATAGGCAAGGTCAGCTCCCAGACTACTGCACTAGACAGCACAGTTTGGGGAGGAGGTGAACAGCCCTCAGTAGTAAAAGAACAGGTTATGGACTAAGAAAAGCTTGGACGTGTACAAATCCATGGGGCCAGATGGGATACACCCAAGGGTGCTGAGGGAGTTGGCTGATGAGATTGGAAAGCCACTGGCCATCATCTTTGAAAACTCATAGCATCAGGAGAGATCCCAGATGACTGGAAAGGGCAAACATAGTGCCTATACTTAAGAAAGGGAAGAAGGGAACTTCAGACCAGTCAGCCTCACCTT